TTTCAATACCTGAAATGTCTGCCTTGTAAATTTAAAATTTACTATTTGGTTGATTTTGAAAAAAAATTTCTTCAATTAAAAAGCCAAAGATTCTTGCTTATTTCTTATGTGAACATTCCTCCCCCTCCCATCATCCCTAAACACACCCAAATAGCTCACAGGTATTGCTTGAACACTCAATATTTTTGAACCTCAAAGGGTCTCTTCTCTGAATAACTGTCAAAACTCACAGGATAATGATTAGCTGGTGAATGTTATCAATTAATAAAACTAAAGAACACAACCCAGTCTTACCAAAGAAAATTTCTTAAATATAGGAAGTAGAAATGATACAAAGAACGTTGAATACTGCGAAGAGACTGGCATTTACACTAAAAGAGACTGTGAGAAAATAGATTAAATGGATTAAATTAAATTACTAAATTTAGTACATGCCACATTAGTGGTCTCATAATGATTCAGACCACAGTCTGGATTAAAGATGTCTTGATTTTTGAGGTTAGGAGTCAGTCTCCCAATAGTACCATAACATACATGAATACACAACTTGCCTATCTCCAGAAAATCTTTATATTTTTATATAATCTTATTTTTTTTTTAGAGACAGAGTCTTGCTGTGTTGCCCAGGCTAGAGTGCAGTGGCATGATCATAGCTCACTGCAACCTCAAACTCCTGGGCTCAAGCAATCCTCCTCCTGAGTAGCACGGACTACAGGCGCACAGCTAATATTTTTATTTTTTGTAGAAATAGGGTCTCACTATGTTGTCCAGGCTGGTCTCAAACTCCTGGCCTCAAGTGATCTTCCTGTCTTAGCCTCCCAAAGTGCTGGGACTACAGGTGTCAGCCACCCTGCCTGGCCAATATCCTAAGAAATTAAAGTGTTGACTAGAATTTATGAAGTATGATTTACAAGTTAAGTGGCTCTACCACTTACTAGCTATGTGACCTTCAGCCAATTATTGACACTTTGGGCTCAGTTTCCTCATCAGTAAAATGTTTTTTGTTTTTTGAAAAAAGTACCTACCTTATGGAATTGGTGAAAGATTAAATGAGAATATAAATTAAAGTTTAGCACAGTGCCTGGCATATAGACTGGTCAAAAAATGCTAAATGCTATTAATCCACATATCAGAAATTTGGAAACAGCCAAATGTTTAATGACAGAATGATGGCTAAAGATTATGGTAAATCCATACAATGGCATATTATTATACAGTCATTAAAATGTTCATGAAGAGTTTTTAATGATGTTGGAAAAATGCTTATATTAAGTGAAAAAGCATGATATAAAATTGAATATATAGCATGATTTCAATTATGTAAAATATACATCAATATGTAAAAAAATGTCTAGCAGAAAACATACCAAAATACTAAAAGCAATTATTTTGGGTAGAATTTGACCTGCTTGCTATTGTTTTCTTTTTTACACTTTTCTATCATTAATCTTTTTTTTTTTACAGTAAAGAAGGTATTACTTTCAAAACCAGAAAACACCATAATCTTAAAATGCTAAAATAAGGTAACAAATGGATAATTTTAAAAATTTATAGAAATGCTCAACTTTTCACATATAAATGATATAATACAGAAATTATTGTAGCTTTCCAAAACTCAATTATTTTCTCTAGAATTTACAAATAAGTATATTGTATTAATGCAAAATAAATATTACAAGCAACATAAAGCAGTAAATACCCCTTGGTTGAATCTGTTTATAAATAAGTGTGTGACGTTTAACACAAACAGTGCATTCCCTGACTTGAAACTCCCTGAGCAGGAGTGCCAGCCTCCAGCTGGTCCCACCACAGCCCCCTGCCGGCAGCTCCTCCTCCCAGCTCTGCTGCGAGCTCCAGCTGCTCTTCCTTTTCTACATATCCAGCTATGAAGTTCCCACCCTTTTTGCAATTTTCAAAGGGAAGACCTCCTCCTGTCTGGTTGTAAGAAAAAGAAAGAAGATAAGCCTTTCCCTTCACTTTGAATAAACTTTCCAGAACCCTTTTCGATTGTTTGTGTGTTTGTGTGCTATTTTCCCCCTTCCTAAACAGCTTTAGACCTTGTGTTCCTGACTCCATCTTTCAGGTTATCCTACTTATCATTAGACCAAAACACTCTGTTCATTTCAATCAATTTTTGCCCTCACGGCCCTCAGTCTACTAAATATACAAATATCAGCCTATATAAATGTTATTCAAGTTTTTAACAACAGTACTAAAGAGAATAAACAATCACAATTTACAGGAGACATCAGGAAATTCTTCATATTCTTAATAATTAAAACATTTTTGGGAGCAAATCTCAAAAGAAACTTCTTGTTTATCTATCAGCATTTTCACCTAAAGAGCCCTGGGTTAGACATTATGTATTTTAGCCATAAGGCTGAAAAAACATTCTACTAATATGTATCAGTTGTTCACCCAAACATCCACCCACAATGCATTAACCAGATCATTTATGACTGAATTTTTAAAAGTGGTATAAGCAGAAACTCTCCAGATGTTAATGTACTTTGTGGCTGTATGGGATTTAACTCTCACAGCAAAAGCTACCCTTATACAGCCTACCAATTAAATGAATACCAAACTTTACAAATTAATAAAACACAATCTAAATGCACCATACATTTGTATTTGTTAATCTTGATATTAGAACATTTAAACATTTCAAACTACATAAAAATATGACAAACAATATAAAATAGAAAGAAATTTGACAACTTATTTCCAAAACAGCACTATTTTTTATATTGCAATTAAGCAACAAGACAGCTTACATAGTTCTCCAGAAAACATATAGTGTTTTTAGTGGAGTGTTATCAACAAAAATCAGCACGATCCCACACAATAATGTCTCCAATTTATTATCTTTTCCACAGTACAAATTTGCACAAACCATAAATCCTTTGCAGTTATTCAAAGTCTGTAAACATGTGCCTGAATCCCCACATCCCCCCCACCTCAGTTTAAGCTTGTGAATGTTTTAAGTCCTTCACTCAAGTTTCAACTCTTGCACTTGCGTAAGGAATCAAGAGCCCTCTCTCTTTAAATTATTTCTGTTTTATCATACAGCCTGCAATGCAGTAAATCACAGTGAAAGCCCTGGGGAAAACAAAACAACATGGTCTTTACAGCAGGACTTGAAACTTTACAATATTAAATGCATTTAAAGAAGCTTCCCATAATAAAAGCGTGGGTTTTCATTTCCAGAAATCAAGTCAATTAGAAACCCTAGGTTCTACTTAAAAACCCATTTTGATCTAAAAGTGAAAACAGTCCCCTATCCATAGTCACTTTATAAACTCTATACAGTTTCACTTGCAGATATTTTCTTTTCCAGTCTGGAAAACAGTAGTGCAATTAGTTTGACTTCTCTTAAGTTATTGAGTCCAGGATGTAAATAGCTCTGTGGAAAGATAAGAAGATGCTCTGGTAAACAAGAAAGTTTGCAAGCCCATGCTGGCTTACTAGTCCATTAAAGCTCGTAAGTCCATAGTGGCTTCCAACAAAATGTTGTATATACGTCACTAGTAACAAAGCAGAAATAAATAGGCAGAAATGACTGTAAACTGTCCCATCTCTTAACGATTTTTCAATAATAACTGGCTTGATGAATTGACTATATAGTCATTTAAATAAGCAGACAGGAGACAGTTGCCCTTAAGGACATTCCACTATGGCGTCCAGTCCGGAAAGCGCCAGTGGAGTTACCTTCCTAAAACTAAACAAACAAAAAAAGGGAGTGGAGGGCGGGAGACAAAAGTTTACAGATGCCACTCGAATGGGATTCCATCAAGTCTGCCATTCACTTAGATTTCTTCTTAAAAAGGCTCTTGATTTTTGATGGCTTTTTGCTTTTCTCTCCATTATGACAAAGGTCATGTGGGATGCTGCCCATCCTGGCAACACCTGGGGCTTCCTGAACCGGTTTACTGTCACTGCCGGCTGAGGAACACGACGTGTGGCGAGGTTTGGGCACGGGGATGCCGCTGGAGAGCTGGTTCATGCTGCAGGATTTCTCCAGGATGCCGTTGTACACTTTGCTTGCAGGGCTGAAGATCATGCTCTTAGTTTCTGTCAGACCTACACAGTCGGGAGATCCCCGAGAGACATCCACAGTGATGGGCGAATCTCCTCTGGAGGAATCCTCTAGCGAGAGCTCCTCTCTTGATATCTTTCGAGGAGACAACGTTTGGTATATCTCAAGGCTTGAAGGAGGAGACTGCTTCCTTCCAATGGAAGAATTTAAGGAGTCACATTCTGAAGCTGTGTCGGGTACTTCCCTGAGTGAGACAGAGACCAAGGTTAAAAATTTTAAATCAATCTGTTAAGAGAACTAGCAGACATTCTAACTAAAACATCTTTCATTGTTTAATCTATTGAAACTCCAAAGGTGGAAATGCTGCAATTCTATACTCATTTTAACAGAATTAGAAAATTACTACTTTAAACAATATAGTTTCTCAAAACTCAATGTTTAATTTTTAACATAAACTATAATAATGAGATCTTAGAAACAAGAGAACTTAAGTTATACTTTCTGTCAGAAAAATTAAAATGTTTAAATTTTACAAATGATTCAGCTACCATTTCAGCTACTTTTATGTTTTGTTTCAACACTATTTTTCCTTCTAAATCAAGTTGACACTACATATTTTAAAGATGAATTTTAGTCACTGCCTCTCCCTTTATTTAATATTTTAGTAATTAACTTGATGAAATATAGCTTCATAAGGAAGGAAGAAACATAAAGGAATTACACTAAAATATAAGTTCTGCCAAGTTTAAAAAAGGGTGCATGAAGTGGGGGTGCAGCAGAGTATGGGAGTGGAGGGGAGGGGAAAGGCAACTATATCATGTTATTTTTGAAAAGTAGACATTCAAATTCTCACAAGGTTATTCCTTTGCAAATGTTTTCCCCCTTTCTGCACAGTAGAAAAATAAAGTTCATAACCCTACAGCCAACACATAGTAGGTGCTATCAGCCATTCCTTCAAACAGCCCTCAAATCTGCCGTTCCTTATTGCCCCACTGCTACCATCCCTCTTCCAGAACCACCAGGAACTCACCTAAATGACTGCAACAGCTTCCTAATTGGGTTCCCTGCTTCCATTCTTGTTCTTCCCTTCAGATACTTCTCTACACAGCCATGAAAGTAATTTTTAAAAACTCAAACAGAACACATCATTCACTTGCTCAAAACCTTCCAATGCTTTCTCTCATACTCTCAGAGCTAGATCCAAAGCCCTGGCCAAAGCCTGTAAGGCCCCGTATATCTGGTCCCTGGCTGTCTCTTCAGCTGCGTACCCTACCCCTACCTCACTCCGCTGTGGCTCCTCATTCCTCCGACAGCCAACGTTGGTGGCTCCCTCAGGGCTTTGCACTTGCTGTTCCCCCTGCCTGTCTCCACATGGTGCTCAGGTCACTGCCCGTGTCCCCAGAGATGTCCCCCAACCACCCTATCTAATGCAGCATTCTCCATCCTTTTACCCATCTTTATCATCCCAGAACTTACCCGTACCTAAAATGATATTTTATAATAACTTGTTTATAATCAGTATCCCTAGAAAAGGGGACTTAATAAGGACAGGGAGTCTTGTTAACTTCTGTATTTTCCACAATAGAATAGTGGTGGCAAGCTCACAGTGATTACTTAATAAAAATGTGTTGGATGGGTGGATGGATGAATAAAATGAGATCTGGAAGAACAGGGATCACATCTTATTCACTTTACTGCCTAATCTTATTCACTTTTGTACATGAAAGGAATGATTAAGAAATGAAAGGTAGAGTCACGGTAGAAAGTAACTGGCAAAAGAAACAAAGTGGGAGAAGGAACAGAGCTGAAGGCAGACTAGAAAGGCAAATGTACATACGATTATAATCCACCAGCTGGAACTAGGCTAAGACCTCATCTCACTTGCCTTGGCAGCTCAAGTTATTAGCAAGTGCACAGCACATAGCAAGGACTAAATTCATCTTACAGAATGAATAAACTGAATGATCTTTCACCTGGGACGGCCTATGATCACTACCATTTTTCATGTTATCGATATGCATGTCTATTGGGGGTCTGGCATTTGCTTTTCACAAGTATTTTATGTTAATATCATATTTTAGATATACATTAGATTGCAGAATTTATTTTGCCACTTCTATGTACTTTACTCACACGTGTATGTGAAGATTGTCTTTACTACTCTACAAGTTCCCAAAGGGTACAGAATTTCCTGGACAAATAAATCATAGAATACACCTGCACGTGCTCCGGAATTCTCAAACACCTTTACGATTTGATAATGGGTAGTGCTACCAGAAGGCAAGAGGTAGTTCGGATGAAGAAATGATCAGACTCAGAAATCAAACACTGACAGGGACATTTTGGAAGTGGATGTCAATTAACCGAATAGAAGATATCACTGTTCCCCTGAAGCTGTTCAGATCCCAAAGCCAGAGCTGATTTCGTTACAATTTTATGAATTTACTTTCTTTTCTGCTACATGGCCTGGCTGCTTTCTATGTGAAATTCTAAGCTAGGCTAAAAATATTTTAAAACCTGGCTTCTAAACTCTAAACAAGGTGTGAAAAGAATACTGATTGTAAGTCAGGAAACCTGGATTCCTGTCGTAGTCCTGCCATTAACCAGCTGTACAATCCTCAGCAAGTCACTTATGTCTCTAGATCTCAATTTTCCTGTCTGTTAGAGAATTTGATTAATTGCTATTGTTACTTCTAGTTCTAACATTTTAATTCCACAATTAATAATAATCTAAAGTGTTGTTTCTTCATAACTAATCAGACTTGGAATATAGGTATAGTACAACTTAAAATTTCACTTTCTTTTCTATTCTTTGGAATGTTGAACTTAATCATTATGCTATTTTTTTTATCTCTTTTCCTCTCCCACAGTGACACATAGTTGAATTAAGTTTAACACATGCATAAGACAACTTAACTCAAAGGTGAGGTTTAAATGGGCATGTATGTGCATAATGCATAGAACATAAAAATCAGTAAAAATTAAATATGATTATTATTATTTTGTAAGGATTCTGGTGGTACAACAGTTGAGATACTGAAAATCAAGAGGAGGAAAAATTTTCTGAACTCAAATTCTCCTCATACTTATGAGCTAGCTGTGAATTTTTGACATTGGCATTTGAAATGAGGACTGAACGTTCCAAAACGTTGCAAAAAGCTGAGTTAGTGCAGCTCTGGAGTTTTCCTTCTAGTTTCCAGAAGCCACACAAGACCAGTTTCGTCAATAAAGCCATTCTGCTGGTGACTGTGGTTATACTGCAAAGATACACAAAAAGCTAATCGCACAGTGCTGCATCAAATTTTCCAATTGTAATGAGGATATGAAACCTGGGTTATCTCCTTAGGAATATGCCACAGTGATCACTTGCTAATCACAAGGTTTTCTTTTACTAGTTGATTAAACAATTATGGATTGAAAATGATTTCTAATGATAATGTCATCTAGAGTCACATGATCGAGAGCTACAAAGGACCACTGACAGCATCCGGCCCATCCCCTCTGTTTCCTGTATGTGGACAGTAAGACTTTGGGGCCGCATGGCTACTTAGTGGCAAAATCAGAAACTAACACTAGTTTTTCTGACACTTAATACCATACTGCTTCAAAAGACGAATGTGATTTAGAAGCAGAGCTCTGGCAAAGCAACAGGTTTCATGTAGCACTGGTGTCCTTCAGTTAAACTGGAATCCGCTGCTGCTATACCCACTTCGCAAAAAAAAAAAAAAAAAATTAAGTTACGAATATAATTTCCTCCTTTAAGTTCCTGACATTTTCTTAAATCTTTGGCATATGACATTGCTTGTATGCTAGCATAAAACAGAATAAATCAGTAAGTGGCAACAAATACTTTAAAACTCAGTCACATTTGATGTTTCTTTGTGTTCAAGTATATTTAAGCTCGTGCTTTTATATTTTACGTATGAAACTCTGTTCATATGACAAGTTTGTATTCTGAGACCTGAGTCAGTTGAGTCCAGTGGCCTATGCAGTTTTATCTCAAAACATCTACCTACATGTCCATGGTAGGCAGAATTCTTGGTCCCCCAAACCCTAATCCCTGGTGTACATACACCTTCTTCCAGTTACTCAAACATAAACGTAGGTGCTGCTGAGTGAATTCTGCAGATAAAATTAAGGCCCCAAATTAGCTGATCTTAATACAGAGATTCTTATCCAGGTAAGCCTTTTACATTTGAGTCTAGAGATCAGGGATAGAAGTCAAAGATTCGAAGCAAAACAGCGATTCACAGAAGGGAAATTCTCTGCTGCTGGCTTCAAAGACAGAGGTCGCGTGGCAGGGAACAACGCAGACTTCAGGAACTGACAGCGGCCCCCAGCTGACAGCAAGCACGGACACGGGACCTCAGTCCTATAACCACATGAGCTTTAACGAGGATCCTGAGCTCCAGATAAGAATGCAGCCCAGCCAGCACTTTGATTTTAGCCCTCTGAGTCCATGCAGAAAACCCAGTCACCAGGCGTGGACATCAGACATACAGAACTAAGAATTAATAAGTGAGTTTGTTTGAGGCCACTGAGTCTGTGGCAACTTGCCACGCAGCAATAGAAAACTGATACCATGCACCACTGCTCCTCACCCCCGCCAGCCCCAAGATGTACTGTAGATTATTCCCTGCCAATACCATTGCTTCTCGGCAGAGAAGTAAATGGCCTCCTCCTCCTCTTCATTTCGGTACAGCGCTGGGCAGCTTGACACTGACAGGATATCTGGGTCGGGGGAAGGCAACGAGTGCTGGGTGTGCTGGGGGTGGTGCGGATGGCGAGGGAGTGCTGGGTGAGGAGCATGTGGAGGAAGCTGAGCGCGCTGAGACTGCGGCGAGGATGGCACGATGCTGCGGCGAGAGCGGCACAAGCTGCTGCTTCTGGCTAAGGATCCAGGAGGTTTAGCCATGGTCCCTGAGAAACGTAACAGACAGAAACGCCCATGAAGTCCAATGCTCCCTTTATGGCCACTACAAATATACACAAAGAGAACTGGTGTCCCTAGTATGTCACTATTTAATCTCCCTTTATTGAAGCAACTGTACGATTATTACCATTCTCTACCACCTATACTAGGAAAGTTAAGAAACAAGAAATAAAAATGTAACAGAAAACAGGTATAGAAAATGAACAGGAGTGAACATAAACACATGAGGTTTTAATAAAAAACCTAAATTTACTAACCACAAAGGCTTAAAAATTTACCTAAGATGATAAATCCCTAAATTTAAAAATCAACAGCCTATTTATAAGAAATTTATATTTTACTATAAACTGTTTTATGATTGTTAACATTAAATGAGGAACACTATCAGTATAAAGTAGATTGGAGTTTTACCAATGGATATCTCTCGAAATGTAACAACTTGTTTGAATTTCAAGTAGTTTTAAATCAAGGAAATCATTGAACTACTACATGTACAGCCTCACAGCTGGTTAGAGCTGAGACCAAAACTTGTGTCTTGAGCACTGACTACTGTGGAACCAAACGTAAGTTTTAGACCATCCTGTCTCTGCTAGCAGGCTCAGTCTAGACCCAGGCACCCTCGTCCACACGCTCGATGTCTCCACTGAGTGGGCATTCCATTTCTCTCCCTAACTGGAACATGGCTCACCTAAGAACAGCCTTTTCAAGCTGAAGCTGTTCATTCCTGCACACTCCATATGCTACAGCGTCAGGACTGAGGTTGCCGGCCTCCTCGCTCCCCAGTATTATCTGCAAATCCTTATTCCCACACCCTTTTGTAAAAATGTGTTACAAAAATAGTTGAGCTCCTTCTGAAGCTCAACTATTAAGGAACATGAATGAATCTTCTACTTCCACTTCACTGGTCATTTCCCAGTCATTCTCTCTCTGACCAGTCCATCCAACCTGTCATCAACATGAGCAACTTCACATGTACGACCCATCCAACACCTTAACCAGCCAGGGTTTTCATCTCTTCTCCCCTGACCTTCACCTCTACTCTACCAGCCACTCTCATGCCTTGTCTTGCCATCATTCAGAACTGGTCCATCTTTGAAACTACAAGTCAAGACATCAAACATTTAGATTCTGAGCATGATTCTTTCTTTCTAGCTCATATATTATGTTCCTTCTACTTATTGATTATTGATATCTACAATAGACCTTACTCTATTGATTATTCCTTTTCTTGCCTTTATTTTCATCTTCTCCTTTTGTACTTCCCATCAGCATTTAAAAACATGCTGAAAAGACAAACCTAAAAAACAAGCAAACAAGGATTGGGGG